CTGGAGACACAGTGAAAGGGGAGTGGAAGCCAATAATGAAGGAAGTGCCGGCCAGTGATGCTGTGCGTTTTTTCTTGTTTGTTAGATCCTCTTCGCATGTCACAGCGACTTCAGAATTCACCTTTTCAACACCCTCTGCCCAGTTTTTTTCTTCATTCTGTTAGTCAGGGAGGGTTGCTTGGGACCTTGTGTCCTTTAATCCTGGAGGACACTGGGGCCGTAGAAGCCCTCTGTCACGGCAACTCCAGGTTCACTGAGCCAAAGTGAAGTTTCTGTTTAGCTTCCCCAATAGCTCAGCTGAGTACTCCTATTTCTTCACCATTTCATTCTGTCATTAGGGCAAGGACAAATGTTTATCTAGACAAAACTATGTGTGCATCAGCCTGACATGGTAGTTTACCATATATTTCTACTGTTCAGAGGTTGAGACAGGAGGGCCGTGAGTTCAAAGCCGGCCTGAGATACATATTAAGACCTGGTCTCAAAAATAAAAAGAGAACAAAACCAAGGGTTGATGACACAGCCCAGCTGGTATAGCACTGACTTGGCATACATGGGACCCTGGGTTCAATCCTCTTACCAGGAAGGGAAAGTGATGTGTCTGCTCTCATTTGCAGGGAAAGAAGCGATGCGTACAAGATGCAGAAGTCAGTGAGAACCCTAGCAATTGTTCTCAAATGTGTCTTACTTTAAAAGGCGGTGCAGATTCGTGTTTAGTGTAGTATCCTTGTGTATATGTATGTTCACAAATAAAGCTTTCCTTGTTGCAGGAGATAACAACATACGTAGTAAAGGCACCTGGAACCCCCTGAGCCAAAGAAAGTGATGTTTCTGTGTATGACTTCCTTGCTTCCCAGATGCTTGTATAGTGTTACTTTCTCCTGTAAGTTATCTGTGCCCAGCCATTAAAGCATTTCTTCAGGAATATCATTCTCCCACTTAGTAATGTGAGAGTGAGTCTGGGAGCAGAGTTTATGGCTTTGGTATTTAATGAGGGAGAGAGCACTCCCTGTCGAGGTGTTAATGGTTGTGTCCCATTCACTAGATCGTTTGCCTTTTGTTTTCTCTGCTGGGAAGTGTAGAGATCCGGGTCCCAGGCTTTTCTCACTGCATGTATCACACATAGGCTCACACCTTGAGCATTCTGGATTCTCTTAGAAGTAGCATTTGCTGCTGCTTGGGTGCAAAGAGCAGATGGCGCCATCCATCAATGCCGCCTTCTCCCTCTTTGGGGAACCTTCTTACCTTGAGTGGACCATATGAGCCCACCAAGTCAGGTGCTGCTTGTGCCCATATGCCTCACAAGCAGTATGTGGTGGGCGTCGTAGAGCACGGTCCTCTCTCCTGCTGCAACAGGGTGCAAGAAGAATGAATTCGCCTAAGCAGACCAGGGCTCTGCCATGGAGAAGGAGTCTACCCAGCACAGGGTGTGCTGCAGTTGCGTCTTTCTGGGGAGGAGCCGTGTGCCATGATTTCTAGGGCTTAGAGAATGTGTCCCCAAATGGGACCCTTTGACTGTGTTCTAGGGCTTTTCCCAGCTGCTTGCAATCCTTCTGAATAGGTTTTGCTAAAATAAATTATAAATTGTAATAAGGAAGTTTGTTCCAGCATTCATATTTATTAGATTTTAAGATTTAATGACCATAAGGGCCTAAAACAAATCTTTGGTTCCTCCCACACACACACACACTTTAAAGCAGTCAAGTGGAATGTCTTGATTTTGACTATTTAAATATTAATTTGTGGTCATAACCTACTTTGGGCTTCTGTCAAAGGGTGTGGTTTTTAAAATGAAGGTTTCAGCAACTCACTGGCAGAGAAAAATAAAGGCCTTCTTACAAAGAGGTGTTCTTGTTTGTTGTAAAATACAATTTGTGGGGCCAGGCATGGTGGTCCATGCCTTTAATCCCAGCACTGGGGAGGCAGAGGCAGGCGGATCTCTGTGAGTTCGAGGCCAGCCTGGTCTACAGAGTTAGTTCCAGGGCAGCAAGGGCTACACCTAGAAACCCTGTGGGGGCGCGGGGGAGTGGTAGATTTTTCAGGTTAGCTGGGACCTTCTGGAACATCATATGGGCAACTTCCTAGAGGAAACATGCATCAATTGGCTACACCAATTTCTTTCATGCTGGTTGATATTTTACTGTTAATAGTAGAAGGGCTATTAGCTAATTTCTATTTTAGAATTGCTATCTTTTTACCTCAGTGAGATCAGTAATGATGAATAATGTCCGTGTTATCAGTTTGGGGACCTTCACAGAAGGCAAAACTGTGTGTCTGTGTTTACTGCCTCCCTCCTGTTACACTCCATACTGTTCACACTGAGTTTGTGTTTTGGAGGCGGTCTCTGCATTGTTACCTGAAGAGAGAGCTCATTCCTTCAAAGCGTGTGGAGTGCTTTGTTGGTGGATTACCCCACAAGTTATTTAGAAGTTCTGGTGATTTTCAGTTTGCCTATGTGTTAAAATGCTGCAGTGAACGTCTTTGTGGGTGCACCATAGGGAATCTGTGATTGTTCCTCTGTGGCAGAGAATGAAGCATACCATGACCTTACAAATGGCAGTCTTAAGAGAGACAGTTGGTGACTACCCAGACCGAAGTCTTACAAAGCCAGTTGGAGACTGTATAAGAAGTTTTGTGGGGCTGGAGAGATGACTCAGAGGTTAAGAGCGCTGACTACTCTTCCAGAGGTCCTGAGTTCAATTCCCAGCAACCACATGGTGTCTCACAACCATCTGTAATGAGATCTGGTGCCCTCTTCTGGCCTGCAGTCACATATGCTGTATACATAATAAATAAATAAATCTTTTTTTAAAAAAAGAAAAAAAAGAAGTTTTGTGGAGGGCCAATAGATACTGATCAATCGAGTTTTATAAAAACTGTCATGAAACTTGGCTTATTACAATTAAGTGTGTAAGAATTAGGAGAAAATGTGAACATACCCATGTAATAGTATATAGTTTCAAAATGTATGCAGTGATTCAGTAATATCATTTGATAAAGATTCCTTATGGATAGCCTATTGGCCAATAAAAGCACCCAATTCTTTTATATTAAAGTCATATAAAAATTATTCAGTCCAGTCTGAAATCTGTAAGTAAATCCTCCCCTAAATCTTTTTATATGTTAATTAACTCAGCAAAATGATTGTTTTCCTGATTGAAATTGGCTAATCCTAATCATTTTTTTCATCGATGATGTCCGTCAGCCAAGGAAGGTAAAAGAACATGATGTTGGAATAGGACCAGGACAGGACAGAGGCTCTCAGGGATTTTGTGTTATTTAATTGCCTTAACAATCTTAAAAAAGGAGCCTTGTGATTTCCATTTATTAGTGCAGAAACTCAGCTGCAAAAGACTCCAAAGTGACCCGCCTGCCTCTGCCTCACTTGAAACAGTGACACTTTCTGCTCTGTCATAATTTCTTTAAACATGTTCCTGAGGTGACTCTTACCTTGGCATCAGAAACCTTGAGAGATTTTTGTTAATACTGCAGGTTTCTGCTCCCCTGAGGTGGGTAGAGGGTGCTGGGGTTGTGCCTTTTTTTTTTTTAAAGGAAGTGTTACATTTTGAATTCTGAGACCTACTCTGTCAGACCATGGTAACCTCATTTTTGTGATGTGAGAAGCCTTGTCAGAGAGTGCCCCTAACTTCTCTGAGGACCAGTGTGACTCTTGCCAGGCCTCACTGGTAGTGTGGACTTTAGCACTGCTCATCTGAGTGGGATCCTCCTGCCTGCCCACTTCCGCCGCTTCTTGTGATTCTTGCTGGGTTAGCATGGCTTCCCATCTGACAAGTGACTTCCCAAAGACTTGAAATTCAGTAGGCTGCATCAGAATCACTTCTCAGAGCCAAGCTGAAATGGCTGTGCAGAATCATCGCATCCCAAATGTGTCTTTGGCATTGGTGCAGATGGGATCTGCAGCTTGTGGTCTAACTCCTGCTCCAACAAGAAAAAAGAAAGAGGTGGCAGTTGGGGAAGTGATTACTTTTCTGACACCAGCTTGTACTTGTTTTCCTTTCTCACCTCCCTTCCCCACGCTTGTTTGGTGACAGAGTCCCCATAAGCCTGCCTCTGATGGCTGCTCATTTTCCTAGAAGTGATGATATCACTGGCTGCCTCCCTCCCTCCCGCGCCGGCCGGCCCTCCCACCAAGGACGGCGGGGTCTGCGGACAGCCCACCAGGTTCAGCCACCACCTGTCTCCTTTGCCGGTCTCTTTCTCCCTTACTAGCTTTTTCTCTCGGCTTTGTGAAATTCTCCTTCTTCCTTCCAAATGGCATGCTTACCTCTCCAGAGCCCAGTCCAAGCCCCGGTCTCTTCCAGAAGCCAAGTTAGGGAGCTGCTTCTATGACTGACAGATCTCAAGATGTGTGCTGATGATCCAGAGGGTATCCTAAACCAACTTGAACTTGTCCTCCTATTTTATCCTTCTCTGCTGGCGAAAGAACAGTCGGCTTTGTGTTGCGGCTGAGCTCATCCAAGCTAAAGGAGGCATCTCTTTGCCTGAAATACATAGGGGAATAAAAAGACGGGAGGGGGGATATAAATTTAACCATGCTGTCCTTTAAAACTAAATATATACCCCTTTCTCTGCCCTGATTGGTCCATTTCCGTTGACAAGTGGATCGTAAGGAAAGGGAATATCCTGAACTTAATTGTAAGTTAAGTCTCTCTTAATCCAGAAGAGCATTTGAGATTCTGTCCAAGTGTTCAATTTCCCAGGCCGCTGAGGTCTGTGAATTTCTTTTCCCAGCCTCCAGGCTGCTGCAGCACCAGTCAGCATAGCTAATGCAGATAGATCTCCTGCCTCTCGCTCTCCTCCTCCCTCAGCTTTGATTCGATATGAACAGCCTGGTAACTCCGATGCTGGGGAGGAACCTGACAGAACTCTGCAGATGACTAGGTGGCCATGAAACACCTGGGGATTGTTCTTTAAGAAAAGGTAACATTTATATGCTAATGATGTCTCCTCCCCCCTCTCCTTGTTGCATTTTTTTCTAGGGCTACCAGTTCCCAAGAAGAGTCCAAAGTCGGTAAGGACTTGTCATTTACTTGGTGTTTGGGTGGGGAGGGGGCGAGGAGGGGGAGCGGGGGACCCCAGCGGAAGGAAGGTTCGCTGCCTGGTTTCACCTCACTAAATGTGTTTTAGAGTGGATGCAGGAGCCAGGAGCAGAGGCTCGTTTAATTAAGTTCTGGGGATATGTTTGATACAGATGGTGTTTGGGTTTGTCTTCTAACTATGCAGAGATGTGTAAGCAGGATGCAAAAGCTTTGAGGATTGAGACAATGCAGTTTGGCTTCCCTACACAAATGCTCGCAACTCCTTTGAATGGGCGAGTTTCTGAGCTGTTTCAACTTGATACAAATGCTATTGTTTCCTTTGGGGGAGGAAGAGAGAGAAACGGCTCCACCTGCTTCTCAACTGGTGTTCGCCGGCAGCCGTTCACATGGCTACCGGCTCTCTCAGAGCTTCCTTATGCACTCAATGGTGAATTAATCACATAACCAAAAGCCCGTGGGTTTGGAGAATTGCTATGCCCGTGTATGTCCATGCTCAGGTGGAATGGTGTTCACTGCCTGGCACTGAGAAGAAGACATTTCCTTGCTGGGGAAATGTCCTTTGTTGTTTTGCTAGCTTTAGCAGCATTATGCTGCAGGTATAGGATTCTTTAAAAAAAAAAAAAAAAAAAATCAATGTTTTGCTGTCCTTTCTAATCTGGTTTCCCTGAAGATGCATTACCTACTTGGCATGCTGGCTAATAGCCTAGAGGCTATAGTGTTTTGTTTGGTTGTATGAGCTTTTACTCCCAGGGCACTAACAACAAATTAAAATGCTCCTTAAAAACTCAAAATCTGTGATTTGAATGCCTGTGAAATTGAACTAGGTGGTAGAAGCTTCCCAGGTCATTAATATTAGGATTTAAAAGGGGGGGGGGCTTCCTTGTAACTTAGAAGATTTCTGAATGGGGAAATTTGTAGCTTTGTGCCATCCGGAGGAGGACATTGAAAACTTTGCAGCTTCAGGCGCTGCAGCTGAATTCTTTACACCTGTCTCCAAGCATGGCAGCACCAGGCAGAAGTTTATTAAGGAGATGAGCGAGGGGAGCTTTACGCCCTCGGAAGCCCGACTCCCTAGTTCTGCAAAGAGAAAAACCTGCAGTAGTTAATGTGCTTCTGGTGGCACAGGGCTGGCCCTGGCAACTGGAGCACTGACTTCAGGGCTGCTTCCCGTGTCAGTTTGTGTTAATGTCCAGGCAGGAAAGTGCTGCTTGGTGCCCACATTGAAACCACAGAGATGCCCGAGTGGCTGCATGTGCGCATGTGTTTATCGCCATCCCTGGGTCATCGTCAGAAACCCATTCAGCCTTCAGCCCAACCGAATGCAGCTGGAAGATGTGTCTCCCGAGCTTGAGTTAGTGTGAGCCTTCCATGACCATGCTGTGCTGATGCATGGACCTGTTTTACACACCCCACACACATGCTGTGGAATCCTGACCGGGAGCCACCGCTTTGCACTAATAACATGATTTCAGGTATCGGGGTGTTCGCTGCTGTTAGCACCTGTGCAGGAGAGGTTTCTGTGATGTTTGTATATCATCTTCCCTGGAGTAGTTCAGAATTACCTGGTGGACCCCTAGTAGTATCAAGCATGTACAGAGCCCAGGTTCTTGAAATCAGTTAAGAGAATTCTCTGGTAGCTTATTTTTGTAGTTGCCATGTCGTTAGTGAGCAACAAGCCAATTACTTGGGTTGCATTCCTAGGGAAAAAAAAAAGCGCTCTTAACTGCTTTGCCCACAGTCTGCTGGCTTCTAATCACCACAAGCTAAGAAGGTGGGGGCTGCTGGACCCAAGAGCTTGGAGCTTGTCCTCACCCAGGTCCTGCTCCAGGACAAGGATGGCAGCTTGCATAGCATGCTGGCACTCCGGCAGCTACTGCACATGATTAGGGGACTATCAGCCAAGGGCTGCTGTTGGCAGGAGAGCACTACAAACATCTGTGATCAGTGGAGGCTTGTACAGGTGGATGGAAAGCTGTTTCCCTTTCCCCGGGTTGTGTTTGGATGATGTCCTGCCAATGGGACAGATGATGATGAGATGTTTTCAGTCGGGTTGGAGGGAACCCACAGGGACGATGGGTTTCCAGGTGCTGGTTGAGGCACTCAGGTGATGACAGATAGTGTCAATTCTACAGGCTGCAGAATGAAAAGTGCAGCAGTTGGACCTGGGTTGTGATCCGTGTAGATTCCACCCCAGCTCTGTGGTTTAGTATCTAAACCAGGTCCTCACTCTTGGTTGCTTGTTCTCCCCGCTGTACCCCCGAGGTTCTGACACGCTCGGCTTCCTCCGATGATGGACAGGGTCTCTGTGTTGCCATACTTTTTCTTTCTTCTTTAATGTTTTCAATAATTAGGCAGTTGAGATTTTATTGAGCAGAAGGGTTTAGCATTTTAATGTTGTTCCTCCTCCTGGGTTGTCCCTATAGCTTACCCTTAATAAGAATTTAACTTGCTAGATTTAGTTTAAATGGCAAGTTTGTGGGTTTTCGTATACTCTTGTGGGATAATGGTGGTATCTTAATAATGTCTGATTAATTTAATACCTGGATTTCTACGTCACAGATTTTCTACCACATGGCAGTAAAAAAATAAGACACATTTGCTGTGGGATTTTAGACGTCTCTAGAAAACTTAAGTTGTGGCCCAACTTAATCATTCTGACTAGAAACTTAATTTTAACTGTCAGTTTATATCAAACACAGAGATCTTGTGTGGGGCCTTTAAACTCTGAATTGCACACTCAAACATCTTGTAAGGCAGATGCGCCTGTATTCCTGCTGGGTCCCATCCCACCTCCCCATCCTCCCTTTGTTAATCTGTCCATTGCTCTGCCTCTTCACCAATCTTCTATTCATTTGTCCATCCATACGTGTATCCTCCACTTACTCAACCGTTTATCCAGCTTTTCATTCAGCAAATCAGTAGTAAGGACTACTAAGATGGAACTTGAAATGAGACATTGGAAGTACAAATGTTTACTGTCTTCAGATGCTACAATAGTGCAGGTATCCAGAAACTAAGACAGAAGATATCCCTGACTCCCAGCAACTGGGGAGAGAAATATATACCACATCAACAGACAGAGCTGTCTAGACCTTCTCTGCCTAGGGATTAAAGTCTGGTGGAAGTACACATTGAAAGTGGATAAAGGGAGGACCACGTGCACACATTACGCTAGTCATCCCGCTGTCAGTTCCAGTGACCTACATTGAATAGTCTTACAAAGCCCAGACCCAAGGTAGAATAAAGAACTGTGCTAAACTGTGAAATTATTTGGAGTTCTCTGGCAGGCTGGGAACACCCAAAGTTTTACAAACAGTGACAAGATGGTGTCTTCAAGACAGCAATAGGAAGTTTGACTTCCATCCCCTTTACCTACAAGAGATACTGAACAACATTTCTAGAACTAGACATTAAGACATGTAAGGGGGACACGAGATCTCTTATGTGATGTATGTTTTTAGGAGACAAAAGACCTCTTAGGTCATGTATGCATTGGGGAGACATAAGACCTCTTAGATGATGATGTATGGATTGAGAAGACAGAGACACAAGAAATCTTAGATGATGATGTATGCACTGGGGAGACACAAGACCTCCTAGATGATGATGATATATGCATTGGAGAGACACAAGACCTCTTAGATGATGGTGTATGCATTGGAGAGACACAAGACCTCCTAGATGATGATGTATGCATTGGGGAGACACAAGACCTCTTAGATGACATATGCATTGAGTGACTCCTGCCTGAGTTGCTCTCTGTGATGCGCACTACCTCTCACACTGCACTCCTAGTCTTCACAGTTCCAAAGCTTCCATGTAGATCTCATCAAAGCTTCTTCAGACCACAAGGAAAAGCCGTGAGAATGGTAGACAAGGAAAGGAATAGACTGACTTCAAATTGTCAATCAAATTGTCCCACCTCAGTGAACAGCACATTGGAGCCCTTAGAAGCGTAGACTTTCCATTTTCCTAAATTTCTTACATCTTATGTGACTCAGATTTCATTTTTATGTTCAACCAGTGTTCTGCTCTTCTCCATTAATTCCCTTCACCTGTCTTTGAGAAGAAATTTGATATGGAAGCTGATAAGAGATACAGGAAAAGGCAAAAGTAAAGAGCAGCCTATGCTTTGGCCTAGACCTGATATCTGATTTTCACACTTCTAATGACCTTGGCCTCATACCTCAGCAGCACTTGGATCTGCTCCTATTGTCCATGAAAATCGCTGCAGTGGCCTTGGGTCTTGGCAGATACATCAACTGTAAATAATTTGGCTTTAAAATGGATCAATTTGTCATTTTTAAGCCACATGAATTCTTCTCATCATCTAAGCTCCTAAGTGCTGTCTGTATTCATTTGCTCTTCCGAGCAAATATTTTCAGTTCACTTTATAAGAACCTCCATTTCTAAACCATTCTGTGAAATACTGATGAGATAAATTTTTCCCCATTTCCATTTATAAAAACCATTGCGCCTTCCCAATTTTCCTGACCTGACAGTAAGTAGGATGAGAATCATTCATTTTAGGGAGATAGGTACAATTTCATTCTAAAAGGTTTTGTGATACAAGTTCATGGCCAAGGACTCTTAAGGAGATTTAAAATTAAGCCCATTCCTTCTTCCAAGTTGGCAGAGATTTGAGAATCAGAAATGAAATTCTTAGTTAAAAAGTATCAGCCTAGTGACAGTAGTTAGGATTGGTGATTTCTGTCTGGTTATGTGGCTTCCCAATCATTAACTCAAGCCGGGAGTGTTGTTGGGGTGAATGCATTGTTTCTAAGGTGGAGATGGCAGGGGTGAGTTCTTTGTTTCTGAGGTATTTTCTTCCTCCTCCTGTCTCCCACTGGACCTCTCAGCAGTGCCTAATCCTCATCACACCCCTGCCCCAGGGGAGGCAGAGCAACAAGGAACCTCAGCCTGGCCTTTCCGCTTCCTGTCCTTTCTCTATGTCATTTCTAAAATGAGAATG